ACAAGGGTCTCGACTTTCTTGGGGGCACTGACAGGCAAAAATCTAAACTCCCCCCTTTCACATGACAATAACAAAGGAGACTTCAGGCAGCTCTCACTTGGTACTGGTTATTACACCACCTAGATGACCTTGCCTTTATCTAATAGTGCAGCAAGAAGTTCTCATGAGAACATAGTTTCTGTTTTAACAGTAAAAAATCATGGAGCTGTTTCCTCATAACAAAATCCTATAATAGCTTGAATGACCAAAATGGGAGAATCTCTGCTATGGACAGTGCCTGCATGATGTGCTACATGTGGATTGGAGGTCTGTTTGATGCTAAACTGCTCAGGTTCCCCAGCATCTAAAGAGATGTAAGATTGTAAGATTATCTATGCTATTCTCTTTATTATGAAGGAACTGGAGTGTCTCTCCTATGAGGAAAGGCTGAGAGAGCTGTGACTGTTCAGTTTAGGGAAAAGGCTCAGGCAGGATCTTATCAATGTATATAAATATCTAAAGGGAGGGTACAAAGAAGGCAAAACCAGGCTCTTTTCAGTGATGGCCAGTGACAGGAACAGAGGTGATGGGCACAAATGGAAACATACAGAAAAACTTTGTTACTGTGAGGGTGATTAAACACTGGAACAGGTTGACCAGAGAGGTTGAGAAGCCTCTCTTTTGGAGATATTCAAAAACCCTCTGGATACAGTCCTGGGCAACCAGCTCTAGGTCACCCTGCTTGAGCAGGGGGTTGGACCAGATGAGCTGCAGAGGTCCCTTCCAATCTCACCCATTCTGTATGATTCTATGACTTGTTTAGTCTCATATATTCACAAAACCCTGCATCTGTCAATATATAAAATATATGATTAAAGGTTAAGAGTTTCTTTAGTATCACAAAATAAAAAAAACCAAAATAAAATCCTTTTTAAAAAAAAGAAGCTATTAAATCCAAGACAAGGTTTAACTATAAGACTACAATTTGAAACAATAAAATAGGGTTTTTCAGGCTGTGAATGCAATCTTCAAGACAGTGCAAGTACAAACAAGGAGGCAATGAGGGGTTTGAAGATCAGGAGACGGAGAGATTTCACAAAATGATACAAGAATTTTTTTTTGTATTAGCATTTTGTATAAACTGAAAGGAAACAACAATATGGAACAATATGGAAAGGAAGATGAAGAAGAGGTTATTGCAGAACAGAAAATAATAGACTGCCTAAGAATCTGAAATACCAGTAACAAGAAAGTATGAATTTTAAAAATGTCACATAACAAAGTAATGTTAATATCATAGGTGGGAAGAGGAAACACATAACAAACCTAAATGAATGGGAAGATGCTTTCTAGCTATTCTCATAGTAGAGAGATCACTTAAAGTGTCTCAAATTGGAACACTAATTCCAAACTAATAGGTGCCAACTCAGCATGGCAATTAAGAGATGTTGGAACCATGACAGCATCTATAAAATGAATAGCAAGTGTCAGATTTTCAGCTACATAATCAGCTTAGATGACTCAGACTAGACAGATTCTCAGTAAAATGAATGTAATGAGTTTCTAATATTGGATCCTCAGCAATATAAACAGAAATTAGAACATCTCAAAGGACCTGTGCCTTTAGCAACAGAGTCAGCAGGGCATATTTCAAGACATTTATATGCGATACAGCATTTCCTTTGTACCTAACACATCAGTACCAGTTCTCACATTGGATCCAGATGATGTAGATATCTAGCTAGCATAGATACAGATCATACATTCCATTTTGACTAGCAGTTTACCCAGACTTTTGGATATAACAAGTGTTGACTCAAATCTGAAGCTCCTATTGCCACTTCATTTATATCTAAAATCACTTCAATGAGCAATTAATCAGTCTTGGCAATGCATCTTGGGCACTGGTAAAACTGATCTAGCATTTTCATTAAGGAATAAACATTAAGTAATGGTTCCGAGATTCTAGATCTTCATCATAAGCTCCAGACAAATCTAGAAATCTAAATATTATCAATGCTGTAACTGTACAATTTCAAGCAAGTAGAACACAACCATACTGACACATTGGAACTGATTACGCAAACACAAGATTGATGTGGATACACAGACTATCCAAAATGAACAGTGGACTGTTTCATAAAGCAGTTTATTAGTGCCACATTCTAGGTACTAGATTTGATTGACACAGATTTAAAAAAAGATCTAAGAAACACATATATTAGCTTGGAGTCACATTTGAGCCACTATAACTGCCCTATAATATATATATATGTATATATTTATATACGTTCAGGATCTTCTGAAAGACTGAGTGATCACAGCAGATACTACTATCCGAGACATTCTAAACCTCAATGTCGAGGCACTATATAATTCTATATGCAAAAGCCACTTAGTGAAGAAACAGACTTTGCCAATCTGAACAACACTGAATGACAATTAACATCTTAATAACATTACCTCAATCCAGCAGAATTATGGATCTCAAAATTTATACACAAAGTAAATATAGTTTTTGAGTCCAACTCAGAAACAATGACAACTAGGATATCAATTTTGCTACTCAAGACAAAAGTAAAATATCTTCAGTCACTGCATTTGATGAATAAATACTTCAAAATCATTTAACCACACAGTCTGTGATCATATCTTTCACAATAGCTCAAAGTAACTAATATCTGCGTTACAAATATTAATATATTCTGAAAAAATCTTGCTTTGAAATTTACAAAAAAATTCTTGCTATTTCTCAGATAATATGCCCATTGTAGTTACTAAGTATCAACAACAGGACCATCAGAAGATTTGCAGTTTTAACAAAACCAACACTAGATCTAAGCGCTATAGTTAATGAATTTTAAATCAGGCAATGGAAGTAATTCAAGTACTTGTCACTAAAATCCTAGGTTAAACATTCACAAAAGAGATATTCACATACAAAATTTTTGATGTATGTAAGAATATGAAGCTAAATTTTATTTGGCCTAATATTAATTTTTCAAAGTACAACCTTATTCCTTTTCAATTTTGAGGCCCAATCTTGTATTGAGGCAACTTGTTATTACCAAGTGTTCAAACCCTCGGGTGAGCGATGTCCCTCACAAGTCTATGTTTGCAGGATCATGAGCTTCCAAGTGTGAATCAGAAAAAAGACAAAACCTGAAAGTTAAACAGTGAATGCTATTTCCTGAAGTATATTTTTGAAACTAGTCTTACCCCAATGGTAAACTGTTCATTCAGAGACAAAAAGAGAACATTAAAGAGGTAGCATGTTGGCAGTGAGTACAAAAAGTATATACAGTAAAATGTTCTCAAAAATGTTTTAATTTCATAGAGTTTATCAAATTATTTAGGTTGGAAGGGACCTCTCAAGGTCTCTAAGTCCAATTGTCACTCAAAACAGATCCAATTAGAGCAGGTTGCCCAGTGCTTTGTCCAGTCAAGGTTTGAATATCTCCAGGGATGGAGATCCTATAACTTCTTTGGGCCCCTGTCCCAGTGTTTGATTGCCTGTATGACAAATTTTTTTCTTATACCTAACTGGAATATCCCATATTCCAACTTGTCTCATCCTTCCATTGTGCACCTCTAAAAGTCTGGCTGCTTTCTCTATGTGCTCCCAATATGTAGCTGAAGACAGCAATAAGATGTCCTTAAACCTTCTCATAGCTGAACAAAACCAGTTCTCTCCATGTATTTCATGTGTTTCAAACCCCTGATCAGCTTGGTGACCCTCCACTGGACTTACTCCATTATGCCTGTCTTGTATGTCCAAGTCACAGGCATTCTTTTGTCCTGACCTCTCTAAAATTAAAATCAATGTATTTAACTTTAGAGGTATATAATGACTCCAAAAGAGGAAGCATCTATCTAACTTGACAACAGTAAAAACAATAACCAGGACAGAACTTGAAGCATATCACTTGTACATCACTTGATATATCAGAGGGTTGTGCTGCCATTCAGAGGGATCTCAACAGACTTGAGAAATGGACTGAGAGGAACCTCATGCAGTTCAACAAAAGGAAATAAGTCTTGTACCTGGAGCAAAATAACCCCAGGCACCAGTACACGCTCAGGGCCCACCAGTTGGAAAGCAGCTTGACAGGAAAGGCCCTTGGATTCCTGGTGGACACCAAGTTGAACACGAGCTAGCAATCTACCCTTGTGGCAAGAAAGGCTAATAATATTGTGGGCTGCATAGTTTGCTAGCGAATGGAGAGAGGTCATCCTTCCTCTCAGCACTGGTGAGGCCACACCTGGAGCCCTGGAGTCCAACAAAGGGACACTAAGATGATTAAGATGATTAAGGAATTGGAGTGTCTCGCATATGAGGAAAGGCTGAGAGAGCTCTGACTGCTTCACCTAGAAAAGAGATGACTCAGGGAATCTCATCAATGTGTACAAATATCTGAAGGGAGGGTGCAAAGAAGACAGGACCAGGCTCTTTTCAGTGGTGCCCAGTGACAGGACGAGGCAATGGGCAAAAAGTGAAACACAGGTGGTTCTGTCTGAACATAAGGAAACACTTTTTTGCTGTGAGGGTGCTTGAAAACTGGAACAGGCTGCCCAGAGAGACTGTGAAGCTTCTATACATAGATATATTCAAAAGCTGACTGGGCACGGTTTTCCTCTGGGTGACTCTGCTTGACCAGGGATGTTGGACTAGACCCTCTCAAAAGGTCCCTTATGATCTCAATGATTCTGTTATTTTGTGGCTTGTAAAATATAAGATTTTAAATGGTAATAAATTCAGACTATATAAGACCATTGAAACTTGATTTCCATAAACATTCTTAAAATCAGATGTAATTAATATGAGACTAAGAATATTATTTAAGAAAAAATTATTTTAAAAATTATTCTAAAAATAGTAACACACAGCAAATTAGATATTGGGTAGCAGCAATTTTTGCAAACTCATATTTTCATAAGTATTAATTTTAGGATCAGCAACAGGCACCTCTTTTTATCATTATAAATTTTAAAATAGCATATTAGTGATTTGACTGACATACCACTTCATCTTCAAATCCTCCAGCTAGTACAAGTGAATAAGCTCCATCGTTACTGCGTCCATGAATTCCACCAACATGAGGTCTGTGAACACCTGCTTCACTCACCTCAAGTATTAAAAAAGAACAAATTTCAAAATAACTTTTTGAAACAACTGTCCTTCTACAATAATTTTTCTGCCTAAAAATTATTTCCGTAAGTATGCTTGTGTAACAGGATTGCCATTAAAGGAAATATGATTTTTAGATTTTTTTTAAGAAAAAAACACAAAGAAAGGTCATCCAATGAAAAGAAAGGACAACATAGAACAGTGTTGACACAAAGATGAATAGTAGACTTTGCCCCTTAGTAAAAATCTTCATTATTCTTGCTATAAGGAACATTTAAGATTGCTTAGATCAAGTTTAAGGTACATTATCTTTCTAATTCAGTAGTATTTTAAATTTGTGTAAATAATTATGCAAGAAAGATCATAGCGAGTAAATTTTTTTGGTGAAAATTATGTCAAGTATTGTTAAAAGTTAACCAACTCAGGAAAATGCAATCACATTAAGAGCCTGCCTTCATCTGTGAACATTTCCTCTTTTTCCAGTTCTGCCCAATCCCTGTACTTCCCCACACAATTTATGCAATTTTATGATTTTATATTGTCATAGGAATATATGAGTCATCAAACTGCATCAAACCAGAGTTCCAGCTAGCCAAATATCCTGTCTCTGACAACAAATAAAAGCAGATAGCTGATCAGTGTGAAAACTATCAAGTGCACAATGATATTTCCATGTAAAATTTCTCAGTTTCCAGCTATGTGTGGTTTAGATTTCCTGAGCCAAAGGCATAATCTTTGCATTTCATGGAAGAAAAGTCAACCAATGGTTATTAATTTATCTACTTGAGTTCTGAGCTCTTGCACACTTCTTAGCTTTCACAATATCCTACAGGAAAGAATTCACAGTATTGAATATTCATTCTTGATCTAGCACCTGATCATTTCATTTGATGCCCCCTCATTTTGCATCAAAAAGTACATACAGTTGTTCCCTATTCACCTTCTTCAACTTTGATAGACCTCTGTAGCATACCATCTTTCATACATTTTGTACGAAAGCCATTCCGTATCTTATACTATCCTTGTTCTTCATGATTATATTGTTTTTCTTCTTTTCTTAATAATTCCTAACACTTGATTTATGTTTCTATGCTTATGTATCTATTACAAGTTCACTTTCCTAAATGATAATAATTAGCTGAAAGCCCTTTATCAGTTATGAGAAGTTGAGATTTTTCCCCTCATCTTTACTGTCCATGACAACTTAGCATTGTGACTTAACTGTCAGCAATTTTGCAACTTTTCCAGACCATTTATGAACATGTTGAACAGCACAGGCTCTTTTGTCTCCAATTCTATTAAAGGTAATTTCATTCATTCCTTCTTTCATTTTCATGAGGCATGCGGAATTTGACTTAAAATTTATATTTCTGTCCTCTGGATGCTGTATCCAGAAACAGTTCTAAGTCAATTTCCTCCTAGGAAAAAGAGATTTGTAAGCTTTCTAACTACATGACCAAACATAATATATAATACATCACATTTACATATTCTTAAGAAGCTTGTTGCATGAAAGAAGGAAGAAAATCATGATACAACATTTACAGCATTTTCCTTCTAAATTCCCATAAATCTGCTAAGAATTTATTTTCATACAAAAGAACAATCAAATCAGAAATAAAAGTGAACCTTTTTACATGGAAAAATATTGATCTTTTAAAAAGTATGCAGTCAAAACATAGCCATTATTAAATAATTTTGTACAAATGATATTTCTTCTTCTAATATTTACATCCTACATTTTAAGTCTTATCTGCTTAATTTTCTGAGAAAAACAAACCTCTTAATTTATAGTCCTGTTTGCAATCAGCACTTTGAAGTTCTGGGATCTATTTGATCTATTTCACCAATGTAATCCTTAAAGACATGAAATCCTAATTTTTATTCCTGCTGATACTGGCTGATCCAGTAACAATAAAATTTGATTCAGAGGTCTTGAGATAAAGAATAGATAAGATTAGACATTCATTTTCTCAAACTAGTAGCTGTGTGTAAAATCAATGAATAATTGACACTAACACTGCAATTTTACTTTAAGAAGTTAATTTGCTTTGCTATTCTCTAATATCTGTACTGATGGTAGTGCTCACATTAGCACCAAAGTAAGACAAGATCCAAGGAGCTTGTTTAGTATTCAGCTGTTACACTGTGAATTCTGTTAAGGGAGAAAATAAAAACTATTGATAAGGGGTAAAACCTTTGCTGTTGACCACTTTAACCTGAAAATTTGCATGTCATACCAACCTCGAAATTATTCAGACACTCATTTTTCATAAGGAAAAAAGTGTTTTTTATAAGTACTCTCTGGAGGCAAGGGGTGACATGAAGACTTCAGAAAATACATTAGAGGAGGTTTTTGGTTACTTTTTGGCTTTTTGGGACCAGATGGGATCCACCCCAGGGTGATGAGGGAGCTGGCGGAAGAGCTCACCAAGCCTCTCTCCATCATCTACCAACAGTCCTGGCTCACTGGGGAGGTCCCAGATGATTGGAAGTTGACGAATGTCACACCAGTCTACAAAAAGGGATGGAAGGAGGACCCAGGAAACTACAGGCGCGTCAGCCTGACCTCAGTGCCTGGCAAGGTGATGGAGCAGATCATCCTAAGTGCAATCACACAGCACCTACAGGATGGACAAGGGATCAGACCCGGCCAGCACGGGTTTAGGAAGGGCAGGTCCTGTCTGACCAACCTGATCTCCTTTTCTGATCAGGTGACCCGCCTGGTGGATGAGGGGAAGGCTGTGGATGTGGTCTACCTGGACTTCAGCAAGGCCTTTGACACTGTCTCCCACAACATTCTCCTGAAAAAGCTGTCAGCCCACGGCTTGGACAGGGGCACTCTGTGCTGGGTTAGGAACTGGTTGGAGGGCCGAGCCCAGAGAGTGGTGGTGAACGGTGCTGCATCCAGTTGGCGGTCAGTCACCAGTGGTGTCCCCCAGGGATCAGTGTTGGGCCCAGTTCTGTTTAATATCTTTATTGATGATCTGGATGAGGGGATTGAGTCCACCATCAGTAAATTTGCAGATGACACTAAGTTGAGGGGGAGTGTTGATCAGCTGGAAGGCAGGAGGGCTCTGCAGAGGGACCTGGATAGGTTGGAGAGTTGGGCTGATTCCAACGGGATGAGGTTCAACAAGGTCAAGTGCCAGGTCCTGCACTTTGGCCACAACAACCCCATGCAGCACTACAGGCTGGGCGCAGAGTGGCTGGAGAGCAGCCAGGCAGAGAGGGACCTGGGAGTGTGGATTGACAGGAAGCTGAACATGAGCCAGCAGTGTGCCCAGGTGGTCGAGAAGGTCAATGGCATCCTGGCCTGTATCAGGAACCGCGTGGCCAACAGGTCCAAGGATGTGATTCTTCCCCTGTACTCAGTGTTGGTGAGGCCACACCTCGAGTACTGTGTCCAGTTCTGGGCCCCTCAGTTCAGGAAAGATATTGAGATCCTGGAGCAGGTCCAGAGGAGGGCAACAAGGCTGGTAAAGGGACTCAAGCACAAGTCCTATGAGGAGAGGTTGAGGGAGCTGGGGTTGTTCAGCCTGGAGAAGAGGAGGCTCAGGGGAGACCTCATCACTCTCTACAACTACCTGAAAGGAGGTTGTAGCCAGGTGGGGGTTGGTCTCTTTTCCCAGGCAACTGACAGCAAGACGAGAGGGCATGGTCTCAAGTTGTGCCACGGGAGGTTTAGGTTATATATTAGAAAGAATTTCTTTACAGAGAGGTTGATCAGACATTGGAATGGGCTGCCCAGGGAAGTAGTGGATTCTCTGTGACTGGATGTGGCACTTAGCACCATGGTCTAGTAACCGCAGCGGTAGTGGATCAAGGGTTGGACTTGATGATCTCAGAGGTCCCTTCCAACCCAGCTGATTCTATGATTCTATGATTCTATGTCCCTCTTCCCCAAGGGGAAGAAAAAGTCTCTGGCTATTCTGGCTATGGGGGGAATACTCCTGAAATATGTTGTTCTTCTCCACACTGATCATTGCTGCACCCTGTGTGCTGACACAGTATTTGTATAACCACAAAGTGAAATGGATTGGGAAAATTACCCTCCTCCACAAAGGATTGTTTTTCTGATAGATTACTTTCCAATATGGTTTTCCATATGGCTTGAGAAACATTTGAGACAGAAAATGGAAGGGACAGTGCAAGAAGTGGACGTAGTTGGGTGGACTACTTCTTTCAGTAGTCAATACTGGCTTGTATTAGTTTAAAACATTCATCAACCTAAAGGAAGGTGCTGATGCCAGTTGTGTATGATCCAAAAGGAACAGGTAATCAATTTATAGTGATACAATCAGAGGTGGCTCTTACCTTGGGGACAGTGGGTTCCACCCCCACCAGAACTTTAGAACCCTCAGTAAAATCTTATTTCTTTCCTGTATTAAGTATGGATAACATGCACAGTAGCACCAAGACTGGTATCACAACATATTGGAAGAGAAGTATGCACTGAAACAGGAACTATATTGCACCTGCACAATAGCCTTCGGTGGGGATCCTGACCAGCTAATAAGAATTAGAGACGCCACTGGACACAGAAAATATTTTCTGAATGCTATAATCTATATCCATAAGTGGAATAGACTGGTTTATGTTTCATAGCATTAGACTTCTGAAAATATTCAACTTCCTCTATTTATTTCAGTTGGGAGTTTAACACACAAGATATAAGTCCATCCTAATTATGGAAGATTCCCCTTTAAAAATTGTAAGTACTATTTTTACAATTGTAATTAAGTTGTATTTTCAAATCAGTACAAATTCCACTATACTTGGCAGTATTTTGAATATTAGAATTTAAAAAACATTCTCCATATTTATTCTTAGTGGACATGACAATTACTAATATAAAAATATTTTTGCGCCCAAAATGTACGTATTATTTTGATTTATTTCAATTACAAATTAAAAAACATACCTGAACTCTAAATTTCCAGGTTGTCCCAACAGGGACACCAGGTATAGGTCCATAGTGATTAGAAGGGACAATAGTGCATTCCTTAGTGCGACCAACACAAGCCATGCCCTAAAAAACACAACCAAGAGAATGAATTTTCTAATATTTCAAATAATTTATAAAAGTTGATGCAGATATCAAGACATCCAACCATTATTGTAAACACTTCAAAATATATTAATATAAAAATTGTCAACAGATGTTTTAATTAATTAATTATTTTTCATGTCTTTACCTCTAGTCAATAATTCTTCAGATGTTTTAACTTTCAGTAGACAATGTACAGGATTCAACATTGCTTTACAGTCTGTTCAATCCTGTGCTAAATAATGTATAATGCATGCAAAACATACATGAATGGTGAGTTATTTTTAAATTGAAACACACTCTACCTTGCCCCAGTCTCTCTGGCTTTCAGTACTGGCAGATGGCATCTTTGCTTTCTTTTTACTCTGTTTGAGTTTTTCTCCAGCCTTTACAACTTCATTAGAATCGTTTTTGCATGAAGGACAATACCTAAAATAAAAGTTTCAGTAAATTCTTTATTACTTAGTAATTATAGCAATACATTTCTTCTAAGCAAAGTAGTGTCAAATTTATTCATCCTGACTAAATATTTTGAAGCTAGCAAATATACAACAGTTTTAAAAGCTGAGGACACGGGCTGAAAAAATAAACTCAACAAGAACAAATACTGTCCACATCTAAAACAAGAATTTTTGTTTTAAAGTAGGGTGGTAGAGGTAAAATGTTTCACTCTTCTCATGTGATGTACAAGAGGTCCCCATGTTTCCTGTATTCCCTCCCCATTTTCTCTTCATCTCCTTGCTTGTTCAGATCACATAGGGGAGAGGAGAAATGAAATTAGAGTATACTGCTCATGGTTAATTTCCACATCCTGCCCACTCATCATCTGCTTTTCCTGCACTTAATCTCACTTCAGACAGTTGAATGTGGAACAGTCCTAGGATACCACAAAACATGCATACATGTACAGATGAATCCTTATCCTACCCCACCATGCCTAAGGCATCAGGAACGTGACTCAGTACTCAGCTAATGGGAAGAGTATTAAACTCCATTTCTATATATTTCTTTGCCTCAGATGGCATTGGGACTCATTCCAGCCACCATAAAACCATTATGGTAGGAAAAGGATAGCAGACTGTAGGAAACAGTGTCTAAGGCAAAGGAAGGAAAGGAGCACATAGATCCTTTTATTGCTTCTACCAGCTCTTTTTTCCCATTCCAGAAGTGCCAAGGCAAAGGCAACTGCCATTGCTTCTGGTTTCCAGGGGCTGAGTTTGGTTCCAAAGTCACTAATGGAAGAAGTCTGATCTACAATAATAATAACAATATATTTAGATTACTAGTACTACTAATGCCTTTTACTATATGCCTTTTATCTTTGAGTATGAACAAAAGAACTAGTTACCATAGGGCAACAAGTCACTGTGTACAGATATTTCACAAGAATTGCCTGTATGCACACTCTAAACCCTCTATAAAGATAGGAGCTACCTCAAATCAGTTTTTTATTTGCAATCTAGAATTCCTTAGATCCTTATTGCAGAACATAGTCACAATTCACAATTTAGTTTAACACTTGGGGTCTTGGTACTCTTAAAGCAACTTATTACACCAAAACCAAGAAATAATGTAAATGTATTCCAAATTTCTAAAAAATTGAAAAATACATACTAAAACAATCATTTCCAACTCATACCTGTTCAATTTAAAGGTAAAGAAGAATTTTTCCATAATTTTTACTAGGCAAACTCCACCTAGATATTTACATTCAGTCTATGTTCTTTCCTGTTCAAACATGTTTTGAGGGTTGTTTTTTTTTAAAAAAATAAACTTGTAGCATGTGTATTTTCTTTTTTGTAACTTTGTTGTTATTAATATTGGAACATAAAATTACTTTTTGCTGCTGGAGTATTGGTATAGAGTCTTTTAGGAGTAAGGGGACCTGAAGGAGAATGGATGCACTGTCAGAGGACATTCTAAATAGTATTTCCTTTAATATTCTGGATGACTGTAGTCAAAAAACTTCTCAGTTATTATACCCAAAAGTCAAGCACAGTCACAAAAGAAAACTGTTTAAGGGTGGTGACCAACTCTGAAGTGCTATAGCATAGAATGCTTTCCAACACATGATTTGGAAGCACTAAGATCTTCAGCTCACTTCCATAAGCAATTAGTAGGAAGTGAATGGATGTTGGAGCAGATTAGTCTTCTGTGCATAAAAGTAGAAAACATGGGGATAGTTTGGATTCACATGCTATCCAACAAAGACTGTTGAATAAATATTATATATACCTTTGCATATATAAAAAATGGGAAGCACACAGACAATAATTGTCATATTTAGTTCCACCAAATCATACCTATTTGCAATATTTTCTTTTCAGTTCAGGATATTCAAAAAGAAATGTCTATTTCCTTTTAAATCAGCAGAAGCATCTCAGTGTGCACATATACACAATGAAAAAACTCTCACCAAGTGTCATAACTGAAAGTTGCACATATGTATAAATATAACTGGAGTCTGGGGAAACTGAAATATATTAGCCCAGGAAGAAAGGTAGAGTATTGGACACTGAACTATAAACGAACTTACTCAATATGAGGCAGCTGATATAATATAGTACAATAAGTTATTTACTTCCATAGAATGTTAAACTTCTAAATTACTTAAAATATTTTATTTGAAGTGTTCAGTTCCACTAAAATTTTTCTTATAACATGTCCATAGACATCTATTGATGTATTCATAATGGAAAACTTTAGAATTAAGCTCTATTTATGTCAATTATAAAAGATTAGCATTTAATATATTTTACAAGCAGATTATAAGTACAAATGGTATGAGTTGCACATAACTGATAGAGATGAGATGTAGCATGGAGCTCAAGATAAGCTTCAATGGGCTGATGCTGGCTCCATGCAGAGTCAGCTCAGAATGGAGTTAGCTGAGTCCACCAAGGCCTACTAGTTTGGGTTTCTTGCTGGTGGTGCTAGTTACTGGAAATAAGAAGTAAGGTAGTAGTTTTCTTACAGCAAGGAAGCAGCAACAAGGGCTGAGATTGAGGAAAAAGAAAAGCAACAATGAAGGCCAAATAAAACAAATAAAATGTTGGGGAAGCACCACTGTAGATGGTAATAATTGTCTAATAACATCAGTCAATTACACAGGGGTCATAAACTGAACAAGCTAATTTCTGAAATTTTGTAATGATCAATAATGCTCAATGAATTATATTTATAAATAGAATCTTAATATAAAATGCAAATATGTTTACATACCATGAAAGGATAAAAAACATACCAGATGTATAAAAGCTCTTCAGTAATTTCTCTAGTTGCAAATAACAAAGAGGTACCTTGTGTAGAATGGGAATATACATAAGTAAATCATCCTTGTATATTTACCAATCCTCATCTTCTGGTATTGTGCTTAAGGGAGGGTTCAGGCAGTATATATGATAAGCCATATTACATTCATCACAAAGAAGTTGCATGTGAGCATCCTGTTTTCCACCACACAAGTAGCAGGAGCAAAAGCGACATTCCTTATCTGGGTCAGCCCTGCAGTGCTTACATTCTGGACCACTCTTTCCTGTCAAAAAAGATAAAAAGCCACAGGTCAGAAAAACTATTTCAGATTCATAAATACAACCTAATGGCAGAAGAAAATATAGATGTGTACCTATATGCCATGGATGTAGTAACTTTGCTATTACATTGAAGTCTGGGTTTGAAAAGATCAAGCCAACAGGAACAGTTTAGACCTATATAACACTTATGACTAAGCAACTACTGTCAATATCAACTTGTGTTCTTCATCCTAACATTTATGAGAGTCATTGCCATTTTCCAGGTTAGATTGCAACCTAACCTGTTGCTCTGCTACCCAGATCATCAGGGGATTGGGGTGTGGGGGATGTAAAAAAGAAAGAAAATATGTACTCAAACAATGGCAACATAATTCACTGGCACTGAACTATTATAATAACTGACTAATTTTATGAAGACTTAGCACTTATTAATGTGAATGGACTCATTTTGATGGACTAGGTCATGGGAAGATATTGTTCTGCAAGATGCCTTGGCAAGACTGTCTGTAGAAGGACTTAAACAGAACTGTGAAATTACAGTCTTTTATACTGTTGCAATTTAAAAAAAAATGAGCAGGGTTGATAAATAAAGAATAATACTGTTTTATTCTAATTTCATCAATTCACAATAATTTTTATTTAAATCTGAAAAAATAGACAAGTTTAATCTTTGTTCTTAGTGATGCCTTAAGCCCATAATGATTTTCTTATTTTTCTACCTTACAGGTTTTGTAGGTAATAGAAGTGGATTTTGGGGATAGACCCCTTTCTCCCTCCTCCCCATAGTATCCCTTGGTTTATATTCCTCGGTCCTTTCGCCCCATTCCATACTCCCTATGTCACCCTATCCCCATATCTAGTAGAAAATGTTTGGTCTCTTGTCAGGGCAACCCTGTCTTGTTTGGGGAGCGCTTGTGTCTTGGCCTGGACCGCAGGACAGAGTCAAAGAACTGGGTCACCCTGCTCTCTGTACGCTGAAGATGAGGAAGATGATGAAGAGGGGGTCCCAAGGAGCACCCCGGGCCCGGTTCCGGGGGGCGGGCCGGGGGGTGGACCAGGCCAAGGGTTGTGGGGTGGGCGCACTTGGGATTGGCCAAATATTGTTATAAATGTAACATCCCGGGCACAGCCCGGCGCGCGCGCCGTGTAACATCTATTGCCTTGGCATAATTAAACCCTTTCTTATCTCACCCCAGCTTACGGCTCCTGAATTTTTTTCGTAGCACCAGCTGAGCAGGCATCATTTTTCCTCTTAAGTAGCCAAATGAAGGAATATGATTAATTATGTAGGTTTACTGAAACTTAAGCACTTGGATCAGCCTACATTAGTGTTGTAAAATGACCAGTTATTGTCTTTATGCATCACTACATCAATAGGACTCAATTCTTTACACATATGAGCACTGTCCCTATTTGTAAATGGTGCTTTTATCATGAGGCATTTGACTCCCCGGACTAATGGAATTTCTTCTGCTGCATGTACAAGCAACACTGAGAGTGACCAATCAGCAGTTTCTCTGATTCCTCACCACCACTACTCCACCTGTGCACTCTTCCTACAGATCAGATCTTGGCACATTAAATGTAGATATTAAAAAGTTCTAAATGGATAGCTTAAGGTTTATGAAGAGCAAACTCAGAAAAACTCCATCCCTCTAAAAAATTAATATCCAGATGAATATATGAATTATTAATCAAGGATGACAGATGATCCCAGATCACCAATTTTCATACAGTTTCTTTTTACAGAAATTGAATTAATGCCCATTTCTGCTCATTTGGGAATTTGGACCAATGTATCCTTTATATAGTAACAGCATCAGTACTGGTTCCTCAGCTAAGGTAAGAAATGCCTTTCTAGAAAAAGGAGAACATTTAATAGTCTTATATTACATGCAAAGGAGAGAGTAGGTAAATCGACTACATGTAGTAGAACTATTTCAGAAAGTGTCTGACACAAGTTTAGAAGGAAGAGAATACTTAAAAGCAGTTGACCACACCTCAAAGAATTATAGCATTAAAGGAAAACAATTTTGGAGTGAATATTTCTGTGTGAAAACCATCAAGAAAGACTATGGAAGCAAATCTGACAAACTAAACTATGAGGATGTGATACAGAATATGATAATAACAATGGCTAAATAATGTGATAATCAGAGCACTTCCAGACAGCTAAAGGGACATTTTTCTTACTTCAGTGAGTAAATGGGTCTTGAATCAGAGGACAAGGAGGAATTGATTGTTTGAGAGTTTGGGTTGGAAGCAGGAAGCTAGAGCAATCTCCAAATTTTTTCATTTGCGCACCTCATCAGTAAAAAACTTTTGAGCATGCAACCTCAATATATGTATGTTTATTTATAAATTATATACATGCACTACTCTACTAATACATTATGTACATTATAAAACATACACAAACCCAGAAATTTAAAAAGGATCATATAAGGATGAAATAAACACTATTTAAAGCTTAATTTAATTTTTTTTTTAACAGGACAAAAATTATTTTCTTCCTGCTCCCCAACAGATTATCTTGTACACCCCCTGGGTTGCATGCACCCCACTTTGATGTCCACTGAGCTAGACAACCAAGATACCTTTGATAATAATGGATAAATGAGTAGTATGAGTCAAAGTGTAAATTAGTTTCTCTTTTCCCCATATCTCATTTTCTTCAACCATCTTATGAAGTTTGCAACTTGATCTTCTGGTTCTCTGGAACTACTGCAATATTTCATTATATTATTCACTTAGAAAAACAGAACTGTTTTCTGATGCTCCCAAGTAGCTCTAGACTGTCAGAAATGCTATAAATTAAGAATAGCCTTTTCTTACTTTTAAAAGAAGAAGTGATATATCTTGAGACCTACCAGATAAAATTTGGCTCCTGTTACTACTACCACTTTAGGTCAAAGTTAAAAGGATACAATAAAAAGTCTGATAGATGAGAAAAATGAACTATTTTAGCCATTTTTATTTCTGATAACAATCAATTTGCAAGAGTTTCCTCATGCCCTCTAACAGAGGAATCTCAAAGCAAACTCAGTGAGAGGAAGTGGAAGGACTGGACCAGAAAACATCCTTTTCCCAGTTCTATTTTAAAGTGATTTGATAACTCAAATTGCATTGATTTTATTTGCACTGTTCGGATACAGATGAGCCTGTTCACCCCTAACACCACTGTAAAATTTAGTTGCATAGGTTCTTTCATATTCCTTTCTTTTGTAGGAAAAACTTATCTAAGGTTTGTAGTCCAGATTTAAATTCTTATTGAAGTTCAAGTAACATGTTGATGACCAGTTCTGTTTTGTATAAAAACATTCAAAATATGTTCTAGAGCTCTTAATCTCAGCACATTCTCTGACCCTGCTCCATAACAAACTGATGGAGCATTTCAGGTCAATTAATTCTCTTTGAATTTTAGCTACCATTATTAAAATACCATTCTTCTGTTTTTCTTAGCATACAAATATACTAAGTGAGCTTTATGTATTTGGTTAATTTTTAAATATGGAGTAGGACTAGGGAAGCAAATACAGAGGAACAATAAAGAAATCAATTGAACCATAAGCAATAAGAAATCTATAGTGCATTGTGCTTCACAGAACAAATTCCAGACAGCCTACAAAAAGAAGATCAGAATAACAGCAGGAGAAAATGAAGTAAACAATGTGGTGAGGAAGTTGGACTTTGGGGGAAAAAAATGAAGACAAAGGAATAAAGTTACACAGCCAGCAGTAAATTAACAAATAAACTTTAGGGTTAAAATGTAAGCTGATGTTATTGTGTTAGACTTAATTATGAGGGTTTGTAAAAAATAAACTTGAAAGAAATTAAAAGGGGATCACCATATAGGTTCAGATTTATACAAAGACAGCAATTATGTGAGAGTTTTGAGAACAGGTTACAAATAAGGAGACAATGAAAGGAAATAAGACATGACAGTAGTAACCAAAAATTAGTAGGAACTGAAAACTCGATTCTTGGACAATAAAACAGGGACCCAGTGCAGGAAAATATAGAATATAAAATAAATAAGGCCTGAAGCCTAATCCATGACCTAAAGTTAGTGATAAAGTAATCATTTACATAAAACAGAACTCCAAACAATTACACTGCACTGTACTGATGTATATAATTAAATTAAGCATGACAAATGAAATGAGAACATAAATGGAATGAATGGTTAGTTTCTATTGATTAATATGAGAAAAATAAATAGTAAACAATGAAAAAAATGGTTTTAAATGCCTTCATTTATTGAAAATTACATTTCTACTTTTATGAATGTAGTTGCAGATGGAATTTCCTTTTTAAAAAAACACTTATTTTTAATATGACATAATTGCTTTAATAGTACACTGCAAATAATGTGTATTAATGATTCACACATACAATGACACAAATACTATAGATTAAAAATGAAAACTAAACTACAATAAATTTTCTTCTTTTAAAATTCAGTAATATTTATCAAAAATGCCACAGATCAACCTTTCAGTGTTCCCATTATAAACACTGTCTTATAACTCCTGTTCTTTAATTTTCACATATTTTTAAACTTAGGATAAAATGTTTAACTGCTTTTTAGAGAACTGCCTTTTGGTGGGGGGCAGGGAGGAGGCATGGTTTATTTAGTGTTCAGAAGGACATAATAATATTCTACAATTGAATATATTTGTTTATTTCATAGTTCTAGCAAGCTTGACACTTTCTTGCTCTACACAGCTAATGATTTTTCATGCTGAGGTAATGTCATGGTTAAAGACAGCAATCTTTTGCATCTGTTAAGAACTCAAATGAGATATCAATTATGAAATAGTAAGTTTTGTAATTTGAATGCCTGCCTAGCCACTTAGAATATGAACTCACACCATACAGATCATCTAAAATATCAACCATTTACCTGCTATATTCATAGCACTAATGTGTTGATATATTACATCAACAATTTATTCTCAATATACCATGTAATAAAATTACATTCCTGTAAAAACTTTTCAACCCAAAAATCTGTCTAATAACAATTCTTTTATTACATACAAAATAAGCCTTAATTAAATTGATTCTGTGTTGATTCCTTAATTTTTAAATGCCATTCAAATATTTAAGTAACAGTCTCAATCACACAATAAAAAAAGCACATACTTTTGAAATCTCCATCTCCAAATGTCAGTGGATAAGCTCCTGGCTTTTCAATCTTGTACACTTCCTCTATAAAAATGATTCTGCAGTCATTTATTGCATCTTCTGGACCTCTGGAAAATAAAAATATAATAAAGTACATTGAACTCTGTTTCTCAGTCTTAGCCTCTATATTGGCAAACTCTAAGCAAAATAGTATAGTTAATTGGCATCTGTTTTACCAATAAGAAAATAGTTTTTATTGACTTCACCAATAAAATTCAATGCAGTGCTCTAACACACCAAAATCAAAATGCAGTGTACAGTCTAGTTAGTGGCAGAGATGAAGAACATCCCAACACAGTGTTTCATTGTCCATCTTGATTCTTCTATGAATGCTTCTAATGTAATACACACCACAACAGCTATTTTTATCTTAAACCAAGCCACAGTTATGCCTCATTTTCCTTCTAAATAACAGGCAACTTTGAATTGAAAGAATATGCATATTTATGTGCGTGCACAGGCATGTGTGTGTGTATAATGCAAAATATAGAAATATAAATATATCTTAAACTTGAGACATGTCTATATGGAAAAATAAAAACAGAAATTCAAGAAATTGTTGGCTATTAGTAAGCATCTATTTAAATTCTGAAGCATACTGCATTAAACTAGTAATGTAAAATTTTTTTAAGAAATAAACTGTATTGATAATTTCAGCATAAATCAGGCATTTCAGCTACAAATGAGACTTTCCCTAGTAGCTAGTAAAATGGAATTCTTGGCTGGAGCAGATAAGGGAAAGAAGAAAGAGGGGACAAGAAAAGGATGTCTTTAGTAACAGGTTAGACAAATGCCTTTCAGAAACAACAACAGGTAGTTTATCTTAAAAGGTGGTCTAAGAGGAACTCATTCAGTCCCTTCTAATCTTGCTGTTTATGATTGCTTAGATGCTGAATTTAGCTACTGTATCTCAACTAGGACCTTGGAACAGGGGATAATCACAATGATGAGTGGCTCTAAATCACATCAATCAAGGATTCCCTTTAAGAAGCTTTGTTACCTACAGGGAAATAAGCTACATGTGTGTGCAAAAAGCCTATAGACAGGGTTTTTTTGACAAGTGAACTTAAATAGAGCTGGTCAAGAACGTTTCAGCTAATTGTTAGGCCACATACCACTATATTCTGAGAGTTTTTTTGAGAAATTAACCAGAAGTAACATAGAACCACAGAATCATGGAAGGGTTTGGGTTGGAAAGGACCTTAAAGATCATCTAGTTCCAACCCCCCTGCCATGGGCAGGGACACCAGGTTGCTCAGAGTCCCATGCAGCCTGGCTTTGAACATGTCCGGGGATGGGGCATACACAACTTCCCTGGGCAACCTGTTCCAGTGCTTCACCACCCTCTCAGTAAAGAATTTCTTCCTAATATCTAATCCAAATATACCCCCTTTCAGTTTAAAGCCATTATCCCTTTTTCTACCACTACATGCCCTTGTAAAAGGTCCCTCTCCAGCTTTTTGTAGGCCCCCTTTAGGTACTGGAAGGCTGGTATAAGGTCTCCCTGGAGCCTTCTCTTCTCCAGGCTGGACAACCCTAACCCTCTGAGTCTTTCCTCATAGGAGAGGTGCTCCAAGCCTTCTGATCATCTTTGCAGCCCTCCTCTGGACTTGCTCCAATAGGTCCTTCTTATGTTGGAGACCTGTCCTGGTTTTAGCTGGGATGGAGGCAATTTCTTCTCAGTAGCTAATACAGTGCTGTATTTTGGATTCAGAATGAGAATAATGTTGATAACAGACTAATGTTTTGGGTTTTGTTAAGTTGTTTTTATCCTAAGTGAAAGACTCTTTTTTGGTTTGTGTCTCATGTGAGGAGGAACACAAAAGAAAAGAATCTGGGAGGATTGGGACAGGTGACTCTAACTGGCCAAAGGGCTATTCCACACCACAGAACGTCATACTCAGTATATAAACTGGGGGGAGTTACCCGGAAGGGGGGCCAATCTGAGTTCCTCATCCACCAAACAGTCTACCATCAAATCCATATCTCTCCAATTTAGAGAGAAGGATGTTGTGGGGGACCATGTCAAAGGCCTTACAGAAGTCTGAATAGATGACATCTGTAGCCCATGCCTTGTCCCCTGTTGTAGTCACTCCATCATAGAAGGCCACTGGGTTGGTCAGGCAGGACTTGCCTTTGGTGAAGCTGTGCTGGTTGTCTCAAATCACCTCCCTGTCCTTCCTCCATGTGCCTTAGCATAGCTTCTAGGAAGATCTGTTCCATGATCTTCCCAGGCACAGAGGTGAGGCTGACAGGTTGGTAGTTCCCAGGGTCCTCTTTTCTACATTTTTAAAAGATGGTGTCATGGTTTAGGAATGGTATTCTCCAATTTAGTAGTCCCACTAAAGCTGCTCGCTCCCCCTCTCCCTCCAGTTGAAAGCACAAAAGGCAAAGGTCACGGGTTGAGATAAGAACAATTGACTGGAAACAGCAATGAGATAAGAAAACAAACATTAACAGTAACAATATTAATAACAGAAGGTATAAGACAAAGAAACGATTTACATATAAAATAAAACAATACCGGACCATTTCGCCCACCATGCTTTCTCCCACCAGAAGGAATGCCCTTCTTCTTGGAAGCAAGAAAGACTCCCTTTCTCCAGCCCCTGGAAATGACGTAAGGTGGTATTGAATAACCTCCTAGACATGCCCACAGCCAAGTCCCCTCAGCTACTGCAAAAAAAACCCAACTCTGTCCTGCCCAAAACTAGGACAGATGGGTACAATGTTTCTCCTTTTCCAGTCACCTGAGATTTCACCTGACTGCCATAACTTTTCAAATATCATGGAGAATTGCTTGGCAACTACATCAGCCAATTCCCTCAGGACCCTGGGATGCATCTCATTGGGTCCCATAGACTTATATACGTTCAGGTTCTTCAGGTGGTCATGAACTTGATCTTCTCTTACAGTGGGAGGGACTTTGCTCCTCCAGTCCCCATCCTGCTGTCCATCCACTAATATGACCTTCACATATTAAATGCATTGCAGTATAGACATATATCATGGACAAAACATATGAACAGTCAAACAGTGAAGCAGGCATCCAGAAAGGTTGTGCAGTCTCCATTCTTGGAGGTTTTCAAGACCAGACTGAATAAAGCCCTGAGCAACCTGGTCTGACATCATAGATGACTCTGCTTTGAGAAAGTGGATTAGAGACCTCTTGAGGCTCTTTCCAACCTGAATTATCCTTGATGATCTTGAGATCTATGGATTGGTTGATTTCTTTTAAAAAAATACTTCTCCCTTGCTAAGTTTGTGGTTAATAATTCAAACCTCCTATTCATCATCTTTTTTTAGATTTGAGAGTGTTTTTTCTTAAATGACAATTGTCTCCAAAATTAATTTATATACTTCCTCTACATTTTGAATCACAGGAAGCCATAATACACTGAAATATTTAATCTAAATCACTCATGTCAATCTAGATTTAAAAGCAATATTCAAAACAAATTTGCATATGCTTGCAAAAGCTACTAACTCAACATTTTTCACATTTAAAAAATGCAACTATTTCTGGTATGTAAGCAATATATTAAATTGCCACTCATCATAAAAATATTCTTCCATTCTCTTCCAATCAATCATGCCCTACATTAGAAATGTCAATAAAAATTCAATATTCCTCCATTCTTATAATAAAAAGCATTATAAAATTTGAATAGTTAAAATAATTATAAGGAAAATATTTTTAGAATTATGATACTCTTTTTTGGTGGTGAAATTTAGGGGGTGCCACCATTAAGGCAAACTTCTTCTTAGCTAAAAAGAAATGATCACTTCAAGTTACACTGTAACATCAGTTTCACTCTTGGCAACACATACATCCCTGTGTCTTTGTCCTCCTACAGATTTGGAGACAACAGACTGAATACAACTGCCTTGGTTCCTTTGTGAATATGATATGGTAATAATGGGACTCTGTGTCCAAGTGGCAAAGAAAGCTATCAATGGAAGAGAAGGTTAGCAGTGAATTCTTCAAGGAGAGTGTAAAGATTGCAATCTTTAAGATGGTGAAAAGAAGAAATGTCACAGCCTATTTAAAGTTGACATCTGGATTTCTGCAAAAAATTGCTGAATTTAGGAAGAGCTATACCCAATTTCCTAAAACTAAACAGGTGATATGGTTTGAAGCTGGCTCCCTGCCAAGTCTCCAAACCTTACCACCAGAAGTCCCCCCCCCCCAACAAAAAAAAAACCTCAGGGAGAAGAGGGAGAAAAAAAACTAAGAAAAACCCGAAAACGAGAGAGAGGACAACCAAACTGATATATATAAATATATTTACACTTATATACAATTTCACAAGGGAAAGGGAAAGGGGAAGGGGAAAAGGAACAAAACTAAAATAAAATATATATATATATATATATATATCCCAATCAGTAGCCCGAGATCTAGTAACTAAAGAACAAAAGAGTTAGCAAAGAAGATATCTCACTACTCTCCTGGGACAACCGAGAGTCGCTCCGGAACGATCGCCGGCAACGTCTGTCTCCCAAGGTCGGCAAGGCCTAGCCAGGCCTCGCTCCCCAACACGGCAGACTCAACAGCAGGGAACCTGCACCTCCAAGCCGCCGGAAGGAAAGAGCGAAGGCCTCTCCTCCTCTCTTCTTATAGTCTGGCCTACGTAAAAATCGTAGGGAATACTGGGTAAATCTGGACCCTTCCTTGGTTACAAACTGGTCACCAAGGAAGGCCTAGCCCAAACCACCACAACAGGTGTACTGGATCTGGTTGTGATGGATTGAATTTTCCTCATAGAAGTCCACATGGTGCTGTGATTTGGAATTCTGACTAAAAGTTTTGATAACCTACCAGTGTTTTGGCTACTGCTGAGCAGTGTTTATATACAGTGTCAAGGCTTTATTTTTTCCCTACTCTACATAGATAGATTGGTTATCAATTGCATTTTCGATGTAGCCCCTATGGCAAAGGAAGACCTATAGGGATGTCCCACAGAGGCCCAGCAGCACCCACTGTTCAAAAAGGATCATGATCCACTCAGAGCCCATTTATTGCCAATAGATGCTTGCTTTACAGGTGCAACACCCAGGTATTATAAGAGGTAGTTTCTGCTATGCCCATTCTGTTATCATCCCATCTCCCTAAAGATGCAGTTATACTTACAGGCAAACCCCCTTGTGTCCAGGTAGTTAAAAATTCCCCTAAGCCTATGCAAAAAGACCCTGACCTATAACACCCTGAAACATGGAAAGACTATTTAGCCCTGGGCATTCCTGAAAAGGCAATCCTCATTTTGGTAGCAAGGGGTGGAAAATGTGCAAGCCCTATATCGGGAATGGGAGCAAAATTTTTTGAGGGCCAGTTCTGTTCAATATTTTTATCAATGAGCTGGATGCAGAAGTTGAATACACCATTAGCAAGCTTGCTGATGATACCAAACTGGGAGGTGCTGTTGACTCTCTGAAGGGACAAGAGGACTTGAAGAGGGATCTAGATAGATTGGAGCATTGGGTTATGATTAATAGAATGAAAGTTTGAATGCTGGATTCTGCACCTAGGATGCCAGTCACAAGTAGAGTTTGGAAGAGGAGTGGCTGGAGAGCAGCCCTGCAGAAAGGGACTGGGGGTGCTGGTTGACAGCAGGCTCAGTATGAGTCAACAGTGTGCCCTGGTAGCCAAGAGGGCAAACCACATTCTGGGGTGCATCGAACATAGTATAACGAGCCACTCAAAAAATGTAATTATCCTGCTGTATTTAGCAATGGTGCAGCCTCACCTTGAGTACTGTGTGCATTTCTGGACCTCTCAACGGAAGAAGGTTGTTAAAGTACTCAAATACGTTCAGAGGAGGGGAAGAAATCTAGGTAAAGGACTGGAAGGCATGTCTTTTGAGGAGCAGATAAGGTCTCTGGGTTTGTCTAGTTTGGAGAAGACTGAGGAGTGACCTCATTGGTCTCTTCTCCCTGGTATCTAGTGACAAAACACGTGAATAGTTCAAAGCTACATCAGGGGAGGTTCAGACTTGACATTAGGAAACATTTCTTTACCAAGAGGGTGGTCAAACAGTGGAACAGGCTTCCTAGAGAGGTGGTAGATGCCCCAAGCTTGTCAGTGTTGAAGAGGCATTTGGAGATTGCCCTTAGTAATACGCTTTAACTTTTGATCAGCCCTGAATTGGCTAGGCAGTTGTACTACATGATTGCTGTAGGTCCCTTCCAACTGTTCTGTTCCGTTGTGCTGTATTGTATTGTATTCTATTCATAGAATCATAGGATCAGCCGGGATGGAAGGGACTCTGAGATCAAGTCCAACCCTTAATCCACTACTGCCGTGGTTACTAGACCATGGCACTAAGTGCCACATCCAGTCTCATCTTAAAAACCTCCAGGGATGGAGAATCCACCACTTCCCTGGGCAGCCCGTTCCAATGTCCGATTACTCTCTCTGTAAAGAATTTCTTCTTAATATCTAACCTAAACCTCCCCTGGCAGAGCTTAAGACCATGTCCTCTTGTCTTACTGATAGCTGCCTGGGAGAAGAGACCAACCCCCACCTGGCTACAACCTCCTTTCAGGGAGTTGTGGAGAGTGATGAGGTCTCCCATGAACCTCCTCTTCTCCAGGCTAAACAAGCCCAACTCCCTCAGCCGCTCCTCATAGGACTTGTGTTCAAGTCCCTTCACCAGCCTTGTTGCTCTTCCCTGGACCTGCTCCAGCACCTCAATATCCTTCCTGAACTGAGGGGCCCAGAACTGGACACAGTACTCCAGGTGTGGTCTCACCAGTGCTGAGTACAGGGGAAGAATCTCTTCCCTGGTCCTGTTGGCCACACTGTTCCTGATACAGGCCAGGATGCCATTGGCCTTCTTGGCCACCTGGGCACACTGCTGGCTCATGTTCAGCTTCCTGTCAATCCACACTCCCAGGTCCCTCTCTGCCTGGCTACTCTCCAGCCACTCTGCGCCCAGCCTGTAGTGCTTCATGGGGTTGTTGTGGCCAAAGTGCAGGACCTGGCACTTGACCTTGTTGAACCTCATCCCGTTGGAATCAGCCTAACTCTCCAACCTATCCAGGTCCCTCTGCAGAGCCCTCCTGCCTTCCAGCTGATCAACACTCCCCCTCAACTTAGTGTCATCTGCAAATTTACTGATGGTGGACTCAATCCCCTCGTCCAGATCATCAATAAAGATATTAAACAGAACTGATCCCAACACTGATCCCTGGGGGACACCAGTAGTGACCGGCTGCCAACTGGATGCAGCACCGTTCACCACCACTCTCTGGGCTCGGCCCTCCAACCAGTTCCTAACCCAGCACAGAGTGCCCCTGTCCAAGCCGTGGGCTGCCAGCTTTTTCAGGAGTATGCTGTGGGAGACAGTGTCAAAGGCTTTGCTGAAGTCCAGGTAGACCACATCCACAGCCTTCCCCTCATCCACCAGGCGGGTCACCTGATCAGAAAAGGAGATCAGGTTGGTCAGACAGGACCTGCCCCTCCTAAACCCGTGCTGACTGGGACTGATCCCTTGTCCATCCTGCAGGTGCTGTGTGATTGCACTTAGGATGATCTGCTCCATAACCTTGCCAGGCACTGAGGTCAGGTTGACAGACCTGTAGTTTCCTGGGTCCTCCTTCCAACCCTTTATGTGGATGGGCATGACATTCGCCAACTTCCAATCATCTGGGACCTCCTCAGTGAGCCAGGACTATTGGTAGATGATGAAGAGCAGTTTGATGAGCTCTTCCGCCAGCTCCCTCATCACCCTTGAGTGGATCCCATCTAGTCCCATAGACTTGTGGGGATCCAAGTGGCTCAGCAGGTCACTGTTTCCTCCTGGATTACAAGGGGGCTATTTAGATTCTTATCTCTTTCTACAAGTTCCAGAAGCCAGTTGTCCTCAGGACAACCTGTCTTACTGTTGAAAACTGAGACAAAGAAGGCGTTAAATACCTCAGTCTTTTCCTCATCTTTGATAACTATATTCCTGCCCATGTCCAATAAAGAATGGAGGTTTTCCTTGTCCCTCCTTTTGCTATTGATGTATCTGTAGAAGGACTTTTTGTTATCCTTCACAGAAGTGGCAACATTAAGTTCAAGTTGTGCCTTCGTCTCTCTAATTTTCTTTCTACATGACCTAACTATATTCCTAAACTCTTCATGAGTAGGCAGCCCTTTTTTACATAATCGGTAGGCTCTCTTCTTTACCCTAATTTCCTTCAAAATCTCCCTGTTCAGCCAGACCGGTCGTCTTCCCCGCCGGCTTGCCTTTCAGCACACTGGTACAGCCTGCTCCTGTGCTTTCAAGACTTCCTTCTTGAAGCATGTCCATCCCTCCTGGACCCCTTTGTTTTCAAGGGCTGTTTCCCAGGGTACACTCTGAACTAGTCTTCTGAATAGTCTGAAATCTGCCCTGTGGAAGAATAATGAGTAGCAAACAAGCCTAAAAGTTTTGTTTTGTTTATTTGTTTAAGAATGTAAATAAACTTCCCATTTTAGCCAGAGAAATCTTACCCCAGCAGAATTTTAGCATGAACCTCTTTGTTAGTCCTTGAAATTTCTCTGAGAGAGGTAATTTCTGCATCAAACCAGAATCCTCTTTCTTCTGGAGCCTCAACATTATAGTTAACCATCACTACATCACCCACTTTTAGTTCACTCCACTTCAGAATGGTTCTTGCTCGTGGTCGAAGATTTTTAGTGTCCATTTCTACTATGCCATTCTCTGGATACCTTGAAAGGCAAAACCAAACAAAAGTGACAGTTAGCACTCCCAAAGTAGTAAGAAGTAAGTTAAAGACAATATTTTTCAAAATAACTTTTGGGAGCGTTATTGTTTAACTCTATTTAAAAATTTGATCTAGTATGCTTTTTCTAAATTTTATATTAGTTTAAATGCAGAGTAGTGACTTGACTAATATCCTTGCAGAAAAAGCATCCAGCAATCCAAAGGGAAAAAAATAATCCACGAGCATTTGAGGATTTCTTTTTATAAGTTCAAGTTTCCACAAAGGCACAGATCAGATTTGTTCTCAGTAAAGTCAAAGGATTCAATTAAACCAACAGTGAAAAAGCAACAAAGATTATAACTTGAATCTTCAAAACTTCTAAATTCTAGTTTAACTTGGCCTTCGTACATTTGTTACATCTCCACCAATTTCAATAACAAAACGAAATTTAAAAAAAAACAAACTAAAAACACAGTATGTATAAAAAAAAATCTCATGATGAAGATTGAATGAGTCCACACTCCATTTAACAATGTTTTTAAAAATGGCTAATTGCAGAAACACACAACCAAAATCAGGACTAGTTCTAAGACTTTCTAATAGACATGGCAGCTAATAGTTTCGAAGTGTTTTCTCTCTTCAGTTATGAAATTAAAACCCTATTATGTTAAATCAGAGAAGCATTACTTCAGTATTTCTCTCAATGAGATACAGTAATGCTTGCAAAATTATAAGAATTAAAAAATAGGCAGAAAGAAAAAGTTCACTGAAAGACTTTTAAGGCATTTTGGGTTCTTTGGCAGTTTGTTGGGTTTCTTTTTAAACTAGAAATCTGATTATCCCTCCCCTTTTGACTATATTATGAATAATTTCTGGTGAGCTCTATTCCTCTTTAAAGTTGAGAGGTATTCATTTAGAACAATTAAAATAGAACTATTTGAATAGGATTTTGGAAGTGCCAGTTCTGCTTAACAACATAGTCTTAAATTCTCTGTAAAGACATTTTGCAGGGACTGTAGAGGTTGCATAGTCTCTCTGGTGCTGAAAAACTGCACAATGTGGACACTGATAATAACCACAAGAAAAGGAAAAGATAGAAATTTAACCTCTTAAACTAAACCAGGTTAATTAGAATAGATTAGAACAGAATGGAATGGAATAGAACAGAACAGTTCAATTGGAAGGGACTTACAGCGATCATCTAGTTCAACTGCCTGGCCAATTCAGGGCTGATCAAAAGTTAAAGCATGTTATTAAGGGCATTGACCTAATGCCTCTTCAACACTGACAGGCTTGGGGCATTGACCACCTCTCTAGGAAATCTGTTCCAGTGTTTGACCATCCTCTCAGTAAAGAAATGTTTCCTAATGTCAAGTCTAAACCTCCCCTGATGCAGCTTTGAACTATTCCCATGTGTCTTCTCACTGGATACCAGGGAGAAGACATCAGCAACTCCATCTCCACTTCCCCTCCTCAGGAAACTGTAGAGAACAATGAGGTTGCCCCTCAGTCTTCTTTTCTCCAAACTAGACAAACACAGAGCCCTTAACTGCTCCTCATAGGACATGCCTTCCAGTCCTTTCACTAGCTTTGCCCTCTTGGCTGCCAGGGCACACTGCTGACGCATACTGAGTGATGCCTTAAGCCCCTAATGGTTTTCTTATTTTTCTACCTTATAAGTTTTATAGGTAATAGAAGTAGATTTTAGAAACAACCCTTTCTCCCTCTTCCCCGTAGCACCCCTTAGTTTATACATTCCTTAACCCTCTTACCCCATTCCATACTCCCCATATCAACCCTGTCCCTGTATCCAGTAGAAAATGTTTTGTCTCTTGTCAAGGCAAGCCTGTCTTGTTTGGGGAACGCTTGTATCTTGGCCTAAACCGCAGGACAGAGTCAAAGAACTGGGTGACTCTGCTCTCTGTACCCCAAAGATGATGAAGGATGATGAAGAGAGGGTCCCAACAAGCACCCCAGACCCAATTCCGGGAGGTGGGCCAGGGGGTGGACCAGAGCAAAAGTTACGGGGAGGACACACTTGGGATTGGCCAGATATTGTTATATATTGTAACATCTCGGACACAGCCGGCGCGCGCGTCGTGCACCATCAATTGCCTTGGCACAATTAAACCCTTTCCTTATCTCACCCTAATTAACGGCTCCTGGATTTTTTCTAAGCACTAGCTGAGCAGGTATCATGAGCCTGCTGTCAACCAGCACCCCCAGATCCCTTTCTGCAGGGTTGCTCTCCAGCTCTTCCAAACTCTACTTGTGACTGGCATTATTCCATCCTAGGTGCAGAATCCAGCATTCAAACTTTCAATCCATTAATCATTGCCCAATTTTCCAATCTATCTGAAGCCCTCTTCAAGTCCTCTTGTCCCTTCAGAGAATCAACAGCACCTCCCAGTTTGGTATCATCAGCAAGCTTGCTAATGGTGTATTCAACTTCTGCATCCAGATCACTGACAAAAAATATTGAACAGAACTGACTCTAGAACTGAACACTGAAAAATGCTGCTGGTGGCCAGTCACCATCCAGGTGTAGCCCCATTCAGTATAACCCTTTGAGACCTGCCCTTTAGCCAGTTCTTCACCCAGCACACTGTGAACCTGCTCATCTCATAGGTGGACAACTTGTCCAGAAGGATTCTGTGAGAGACAGTATCAAAAGTCTTACTAAAATCCAGAAAAAAACTACATCCAATCCCTTCCCTTCATCCATTAAGTGGGTGACATTATGGTAGAAGGTTAGAGACAGAGGCGTGGCTCTATGTAATAGAAGGGATAGAATGTATGGAGATCACAGTTGGCAATGGCACAGTTGAGACCATCTGGTTAAGAATCAAGGGGCAAACAAATAATGCAGATGTCATCGTGGGAGTCTACTATAGACATCCCCGACAGGATGATGATGCCAACAAATTATTCTTTGAGGAACTAAGGAATGCTTCCAAGTCAACTGCCCTTGTCATTAAGGGGGACTTCAACTTGCCGGAAATAAACTGGGGGCATCACACAGCTGGTACAACCCAGGCCAGAAGATTCCTAAAAAACCTGGATGACAGCTTCATGGAACAGGTCATACGGAGCCGACTCGGAAAGATGCTCTCCTTGATCTACTGCTTGTCAACAGAGTGGATCTTGTGAGCGAAGTGGAGATTGGTTTAAAATCTCTGTTGACAAGAGGAAAAGTGCCAGTAAAACCTCAACTTTGGACATGAGGAGAGCAGACTTCAGGCTGCTCAGGGAATCAGTAAGTAAGGTCCCCTGGGAAAATGTTTTTGCAGGTGCTGGGGTCCATCAGTGTGGGAAGCCAAAGACCTGAGGAGTACAACATGTGGAAATTGGAACAAACAACAAAGAAAACTGTGAAACACCAGAAGCAACTACCTTTTCTACCTCCTAATGAGCACAACAGCTGTGTGGACTTAGGGTTGAAGTTTGGGTTATATGAAGATGTGTTTTCTGTCCTCTGATGTCCCCTTTTCATCAATTTTGTAAAAATCCCTCATGTTCTCTCTCCCTTATTTGTCCCCTTGTTGCTGATTGGTTCCCAGTTGGTGCCATGCACCATTCCCTTATTTGGGCATTCCATATACGGTTGTCTCCACCCAGTCATAGTTGAAACCCTCCCCTTTTTTCCTTATATGTCTGTTTAGCATACTCCTCCCATGTTCCACCCCTTCTTCCAGAGAGTTCCCTCGAAACCCTATATAAGTCCGTGCTCCCCTGTTAATAAAGGAGCACTCTGTTCCACCCTAACTCTGTGGTTGGACCCTTTGTCCCCTGGGCTGCGATACATCAGTGCTAGTCAATTTCAAACATCACCTCCTAAGGGCAAAGGAGCAGGTAATTCCCAAATGTCAGAAATCAAGCAGGCAAGGCAGAAGGCCGGCTTGGCTGAGCAGGAATCTTCTCTTGGAGATAAGGCAAAAATGGAATGTGGAAGTGGAAGTAAGGTCAAGCGACATTGGAAGAATTCAGAGATGCTGCTTGCCAGTGTAGGGAGAAAATTTGTGTGGCCAAAGATCAACTGGAGTTGAAGCTGGGCAGAAATGTGGGGGACAATAAAAAGATTTTTTTTCAAATATATTAATGGCAATAGACAGTATAGAGATATCATCAGCCCATTACAGGATAAGAATGGTCACGTCACAAACAGGGACAGAGACAAGGCAGAGGTGTTTAATGATTTCTTTGCCTCTGTTTTCAACATGGATGATGGACCAAGGGGGGTGGGGTCTCAGTGCCCTGAGCTGGAGGACCATGACTGCGAGAACAATCAACTCCCAGTCGACCCTGAAATTGTGTGGGATCTGCTGCTAGAGCCAGATCCATAGAAATGTATGGGGCATGATGGGATTCATCCCAGAATCCTCAAAGAGGTGGCTGATGTCATTGCAAAATTTCCTCAATGATTTTTGAGTAGTCTTGGGAATCCGGATAGGTCCTAGCTGACTGGAAGCTGGAGAACATTGTCCCGATTTTCAAGAAGGGCAAGGAGGACCCTGGAAACTACAGGCCTGCCAGTCTCACTTTAATGCCTGGTAAAGTTATGGAGAAAATTATTCTGGGAAGTATTGGAAAACACCTGAAAGACAACTCTGTCATTGGTCACAGTCAGAATGGCTTCATGAGAAGAAAGTCCTCCTTATCAAACCTGATTTCCTTCTATGCCAAGGTAACCCACCTAGCTGATCAAGGGAAGCCAGTTGATGTAATCTTTTTGGATTTCAGAAAAGCTTTTGATACTGTCTCTCACAGGATCCTTCTGGACAAACTGTCCAGCATACAGCTGGAAAAACACGTTATGCGATGGATGAGCAATTGGCTAACGGGTTGAGCACAAAGGGTAATAGTGAATGGGGTAACATCAGGCTGGCGACCTGTAACTAGTGGGTTCCGCAGGGTTCCATCTTAGGCCCTGTGCTCTTCAACATCTTCATAAATTACTTGGATGCAGGGAAGGATGAAGGGATACTAAGTAAGTTTGCAGATGAC